AAAATTGCGAAATAAATGGTCATATTCCGTTTTCTTAGGTGGGTGGGTGGGGGTGGAGCGGGGGTAGGGGTGATGGGTGTTGTTGTTCTTGTTTTCATTTTTCTTTACTTTGTGTACTAAATATTAAGTGATTGTACGTAAAGAATAACGTACATTAGCATTAAACCTTTTAAGTTTAAATAAAATACTATAAGACAAACCTTTCATTTTACAGACAGACAAACGGGCATTCTTATTCAACTTTTCGTTCCTTTTCCATGAAATCAATATATTCACCGAATAAATAAAATTCCTATACAAATATACATTATTTTCACGAAGTCCTTCAACTTTTCTTTATATGTACAATATTATGGTCAGATTTTTCATTCATTGATCTTTGATCTCCTTTTATTTTAAATTTTGACCATAGAAATTTCTACGACCGGGCAAAAATTATTGCTTGATAATATATATGACCAAAAAAGTACAAATCAGCCGTAGGGTAGGGTGGTACATTAAAGTCAAATTTTTTTATGGTCTTGTCACTCCACTAATATCATACATCTTATTATATTGCAGTTAATGTTGCTCCCCCTGTACATTTTCTAAAACCTATCAGATGCTTACTCTTTTGACAAAAGTAATTTTTCTGCTATTATTTTTACACTGTGAAGATTTCACAGTATTTCAATTAATTTATTGTATTTTTTCACTTTACGTGTGCAACGAACTGCATTTAGAAGCGAAGTAAACAGGCCCAATAGTTGTGAACTGAGCAGGGGACCTACGGACCTAGTTGAGGGTACTTCGATAGCTTTAAATCAGGTGTCGCTTACAGGTTGATCGCTTTACTATCTGGTACTTGTTACAGGTTGATAGCATTAAAATCTGATACCTGTTAGAGATCGATAATCATGAAGTCTTATACCACTTACAAGTCGGTAGCTTTAATATCTGGGCCCTGTTACAGGTCGGTAGATTTAATATCTGGTACCTGTTACAGGTTGGTATGTTTAAATCAGACATCTGTAAGAGTTAGAAGGGTTCAAGTACTAAGATTTCATTGGATAAATATCTGGTACCTGTTACAGGTCGGTGACCTAATATCTGGTACCTGTTTAGCGCCTGCTTTTTAAACTCAGACATATCTACGAGTTAGAAGACTTAAAGTTCTTAAATTTGAATTCATGAATATCTGGTACCTGTTACAGGTCGGAAGCTTAAGTTGGTACTTGTTACAGGTCGGTTTGTTATAATCAGACATCTGGAAGAGTCAGGAGGGTTAAAGTACTAGAATTTGATTGTGTAAATATCTGGTACCTGTTATAGGTCGGTGAGCCTAAAGCTGGTACCGGTTACAGGTCGGTATTTAATAACCAGACATCCGTAAGGGATAGGAGGATTAAACAACTAGAATTTGATTGTGTAAATACCTGGAACCTATTACAGGTCTGTTAGCTAATATCTGGTACCTGTTACAGGTCGGTATGATTAAATCAGACATCTGGAAGAGTAAGGAGGTGTAAAGTACTAGAATTTTATTGTTGAAATATCAGGTACATGTTATAGATCGGTGAGTTTAAAGCTGGTACCTGTTACGATCGGTAATTTATAATCAGACATCTGTAAGAGTAATGAGGGTTAAACTACTAGACTTTGATTGTGTAAATACCTGGTACCTACTACAGGTCGGCGAGCTAATATCTGGTACCTGTTACAGGTCGGTTTGTTTAAATCAGACATCTGTAAGAGTTAGAAGGGTTCAAGTACTAAAATTTGATTGGATAAATATCTGGTACCTGTTACAGGTCGGTGACCTAATATCTGGTACCTGTTTAAAGCCTGTTTGTTTAAATCAGACATATCTACGAGTTAGAAGAGTTAAAATTAAATTTGAATTTATAAATATCTGGTACCTATTACAGGTCGGGAGCTAAAGTTGGTACTTGTTACAGGTTGATATGTTATAATCAGACATCTGGAAGAGTCAGGAGGGTTAAAGTACTAGAATTTTATTGTGTAAATATCTGGAACCTGTTATAGGTCGGTGAGCTTAAAACTGGTACCTGTTACAGGTCGGAATTTTATAATCAGACATCTGTAAGGGTTAGGAGGGTTAAACTACTAGAATTTGATTGTGTAAATACCTGGTACCTACTACAGGTCGGTTAGCTAAAATCTGGTACCTGTTACAGGTCGGTATGTTTAAATCAGAAATCTGTAAGAGTTAGAAGGGTTCAAGTACTAGAATTTGATTGGATAAATATCTGGTACCTATTACAGGTCGGTGACCTAATATCTGGTACCTGTTACACGTCTGTATGTTTAAATCAGACATTTCTACGAGTTAGAAGGGTTAAAGTACTAAAATGTGACTGCATAAATATCTAGTACCTGTTACAGGTCGGGAGCTAAAGCTGGTACCTGTTACAGGTCGGTGTGTCATAATCAGACATCTGGAAGAGTTAGGAGGGTTAAAGTACTAGAATTTTATTGTGTTAATATCTGGTACCTGTTACAGGTCAGTGAGCTAAAATCATGTACCTATTATAGATTGGTTCGTTTTAATGACGTGTATGAGAGGTGCGATGTTTTATGTACTTGAACCAAGAATGGTTAAATATCTGGTACTTGATAAGGGTAGCTGAAGTGCAATTCCGTACCTTTTAGAAGTAGCTAATTGAGGTAAGTAGCTTCTCTTTCTGAATTATACCTCTTACAGGTGGAGAGTTCCATATATACATGTAGTCCCTGTTATAGGTGATTGGCTTTTTATGTCGGTATCTGTTGTAGAGATAGAAATGATCATACCCTGATTCATATTAACACTACATAAGTAGCTTCATAACCTGGTGACTATAACAGATAATAAATAAACTATGTGAAAGATCTTACAGGTAACTTCATATTCTGATACCTCATACAGGTAGGTTAGTACACATGTACCTGTAAGAATTAGGATGATTCATTATTGTATGCCACAACTGACCTTGGACTTAGACCTACATTTAAATTATTTTAACATTGGTCATAACTTTTGAACAGTTGTGCAAGGGCTTTAATATTTCACATGTGCATTTCTTATAACAAGGTTTTCCCCTGGGTACCTTAACTCTCACGTTGTGTTTGTTTTCCTCATGTTTAGGCTCATATTCATACTTATACTTTCTTTTTTTTTATATATATATATTTTTCTTTTTATTTCAGTTGAATGCAAAGGAAGTTCATTGCTAACCCATGCCTTAGAGAAATGTTCTCGTTTTTGGACACATTTTCATGGCACCCTATTTGATCACCGTAGATAATAGACGGAAGAAACATTTCAATACACATCTATAATTCTTCAAGTTACTGCGCGAAAAACTTTGAAATGACACGCCAATTAAATCAATATTTTTTCGCTCTATTTTCACTATTTTTTTTCGCTGCATTTACAAGATCATTGTATCAAGGATGTGAAATAAATTGATATTTTTCTCTAATGTAATTTGTGTGCGCTAATGATCCTTTTTTAAAAATGCCAAATAGAAAATAAAATAATTTCATGTCTTAGGAATTAAATATTAAATGAAAATTGTTCGAGCAGTGAGAATGAAAAGGCTAAACTTTTCGTTGAAAAAAAAATCTAATTGTACATGTTTATTTGAAATATTATATGCCGTAAAACTATAGCTATGAACATTTTTGTTTAATTATACCATTTATGCCTACTTCAAACCAATATATGCAAAAAAAAATTATATCGACATATTAAAGACGCATTCCGTTCATAAGATCACGCGTATTGCATTGGCTGGGTGTATCTTTCTTTGAGTTATTTTTTTTTCGGGGGGGGGGGATATATCTATAAGTCTGGGAAACGCCACTCAATTTATATGAAGTTTTTTAAAATTAGATTTAATAGTTTATTTTTCTCTGACTGCCCCCTAAATCTTTTAAAAACGATACTACATGTACGTAACTGGGCCGGATGTCGGGTGTTTGTATGTGCAGGGAAGGGGGTAATTGATATCTATTGGTCTGGGAAATTGCAACTCTCCATTGAAAAAAGCAGGTCTGTACTTTAAGTGCTCAAGGAATGTAAATAAAAAATTCTTGAGCACAACAATACAATATTACCTTTAGAAGCAAAAAAGAAAAATAAATAAGTAATGAATGAAAAAAATTAAACGTCCTTAGACGGGGGGGGGGGGGGGGGGCTGTGTTGTATCAAAAAGATTTTTTTAAAAAAATGAATAAATTTTATATATTGTGTAACGTTAAGATACCCCCCCCCCCCCTTCCGCAATTATTTCTGCGAAAAAGACATACAACATGTGTATATGCTCCAAAGATCCCCAATTAGTAAACGGTATTTTCCCTCTTTTAATTATTACGCTTTTTACATACATGCCTTAATGATAAACATTAAAAGTCTTATAGAACGATTTAGTGGAACTTTTCAATGCGGGTAAGATTTTATGTATGTCACCGTTGTAACGCGAGATAACTCGTACCCACTTATGGAAAGATAACTCCTGCCCGCCGCCGTGAAAGCGGTACCAAATAGCCTCGACCTTTCAATGTACAGCGCTCTCTCTCTCTCTCTCTCTCTCTCTCCCTCTCTCTCTTACGGAGAAGATTGTACTCTCCCTCTCTCTCTTACGGAGAAGATTGTATATATTGGGTGTGCCCCTGTGCTAAAAATAGCGACATGTAATACAATAAAAACTAATAAAACAAACGGGGCACTTTGAGAGGAGTGAGAGAGGTCCTAGGAAAAGAACAGAACAGGACAGAAAAGGACAGACAGACGGACGGACGGACAGACAGACCCAAATTAACATCCCTATCTTTTCAAGCGGGGGACAAAATTGGGAGAAATAAGGAAGAAAGTTTCCATATTTAATGGCTTTGGGATAATTATTGGCATAAAAACTAATAGAAATTTTGCAGAGATGATAGCGAAACATACATACATTTCTAATATTTGTTGTTGATTTTTACAAGCTGACTCTTAGACATTTTTGTAACTTTAGATGACCTGTGGGTGAGCTCGATCTACATTGGTGATAAATATTGCGGAATGGCTTATTTAGATCCAAAATATCCAGAAGATGTTGTAAGCCTTGGAAGGAATGAAATGATAGGAGTTCTCCTCACAAAGGATGGGCAAGTGAAGGAGTTTGGAGATAAAGCCCGTAAAATGTTTACTGAAAATAGAGAAGATTCCAGTGATTATATTTTTCTTGATCATGACAAATTGGATATAGAGCTCGGCAATGATTATGTAAATATACAACTATACGTCTCAATTTCTTATGATACAAATACAGTACATGCTTTACAAAGATTTTGCATCTTAATTACTTATCCACACTTTATTTTTTATGTCTTATGATTTTATTATTACAGATTTCTGAACTGCCTTCCTTGAAAATAATTGACGTTTATCAGAGTATTATTGGCTTCTTGGTCAGGAAAATTGTTGAGACAGTTGCTGGTCCTCTGGAAAAAGAAGGCACATCATGTAAATCAGATTCATGTTTATTATGCAACATGCATTGTGTGATCACAGTTCCTTATCACTGGAAAATCTACGTTAGAGATCTCAGAAGCGCTTTTGACAGAATAATGGTAAGATTTATGTATAAACACTCGGGAAAATAATAACCATTTAAGATTTTCTTTTATTGAACAGAAACTCAAAGCAAATAAGATACACGAATTTGAGTATTTTACTTGTGGATATTTTAGAAAGAGATTCACAAAAACGTGAACAAAGAGCAGTTGCACATTAAGTCGAGAGAGGTGGCGATATCTCCATACATTCATGAAGTTAAAGCATCTGTCACCTGTTTGAATTTCAATGTTGACAACCTGATTTTTAAAGAAAAAACAGCATATGTTAATCTACATGTTGGATCAAGTAAGTATTGAACAATCATAATACCTTTTGGTTGATGCAAAGACTTCCATATATTACAGGTATTTTCCATCAAAAAAAAACCATATCCTTTCATTTAAAGATTTTTTAAGTCACCTGAGTAACTCAGGTGACCTATTGCTCTCCGTTTTCGTCCGTCGTCGTGCGTACCGCGTCGTGTGTCGTGCTTCGTGTGTCGTGTGTTAACATTTGTACATTTTCAGCTTCTTCTCTGAAACCACTGAACCAATTTCAACCAAATTTTGTATACAGCATCTATGGGTGAAGGAAAACAAAAATTGTGAATTTCATGGTCCCCGCCCTCCTGGGGCCTGAGGGGTGGGGCCAAAACCTTTAAAATTATTGCAATCTTTAAAAATCTTCTTCTTTACTCCTGGTCATTAAGCAGGCAAACTTTGAGCATGGATGTACATGTGAAATGAACATTGAATCCTCCACCAAATTTGTGAAATTCATGGACCCAGGTTCAGGGGTTCTGGTGTTAGGGGATGGCTATATAGATTATATAGTGAAAATGCATTATTTCTTTAAAAATCTCTTTCTCTGCTTCTGAGTATTAAATATACTAACTAAGTACATAGTTATGATAAGCAAGAATACCTCTTCCAGATTTGTGAACTTTATGGCCCCAGGGTCAGGGGTTCTGGTGTTAGGGCGGGGCTCTATAGATAATATAGTGAAAATCCATTTATTCTTTGAAAATCTCTGCTTTTGAGTAGTAATAAACTAACTAAGTACATAGCTATGATGAGCAAGAGTGCTTCTTCAAGATTTGTTAATTTTATGGCCCCAGGGTCATGGTTCTGGTGTTAGGGCCGGGCTCTATAGTTTATATAGTGAAAATGCATTTATTCTTTGAAAATCTCCTTCTCTGCTTCTGGGTATTAAATAAACTAACTTAGTACAAGTTATGATGAGCAAGAGTGCCTCTTCCAGATTTGTGAATTTTATGGCCCCAGGGTTAGGGGTTCTGGTGTTAGGGCGGGGTTCTAAAGATTATATAGCGAAAATCTTTGAAAATCTCCTTCTCTGCTTCTGGGTATTAAATAAACTAACTTAGTACAAGTTATGATGAGCAAGAGTGCCTCTTCCAGATTTGTGAAATTTTTGGCCCCAGGGTCAGGGGTTCTGGTGTTTGCGCGGGGCTCTTTTGATTATATAGTTAAAATGCATTTATTCTTTGAAAATCTTCTTTTCTGCTTTTTGGTAGTAAATAAACTAACTAAGTACATAGTTATGATGAGCAAGAGTGCCTTTTCCAAAATTGCATGTGAATTTTATGCCAATGATCCAAGTACCGGGTATATATATATATTTATGATGAAGAAACGTGCATATATCAAAATGATTATTTTTATATGCCCCAAGGGGGGATGCTTTGAAACCTGATCTTTGGTATTAATCAACCATTTTATGATAATATTTGCAAAATTTTGAAATATGTGGCCCCAGGGTCAGTGGTTCTTTTTGGGTGAGGTGCACAACTGGTTGTAAAGTGGAAGAACATTTTCTCTTTGTAGTTCTGATCTGCCTCTGGGTTTTGAGTAAGTAGAGTATTTTTAATTGTTAAGCAATGGTGCCTCTTTCAAAATTGTGAATAGTGAGTTTCATATCCTCTGGTTTAAAATACGAACCAAATTTAATTGTTTGAAAGTTGTTACACAATACTCAGGTGACCTATAAGGCCCATGGGCCTCTTGTTTATTTCTTGACCTTGGAGTTTGTCATTTAGCCCAAATTTGAGAAACAACCTTTGACATATGATGCCAAAGGACGGCATCAGTTTTTTCCCCACTAATACATCTTATAAAGTACGGCTCTGTGTAAAAATCATGCAGGGAGTGATTCATGGGGGTTTTCAGAATTTTTTTCAAACTTTGCATGTTGGTAGAGTAGGCTAAGATACTCCAAAAAAATTAATATTTTTTTAAAAAAATTCTGTCAATGGTATCCGTGGTAACCAATAAACTGTTTTGGACAAAAAATGGCTGAAATTTCCTCTAAAAACAGGCAAATATTTATCAATTTTGAAGATTAAATTAAAAAACTAAACAATATATCACATTTATGTTTATTTCTTATTAAAATACAGCATAGGTAGTTACTTTTCATAACTAGTCAAAATATATTTATTATCAGTTATGAGTTCTTATTTTATGCTAAAAAGGGGAGATAATCCATATTTGCAAAAACTGTATAATCCATTTTTGAGGATTTTTGTCTATCAAAAATTTCTTTAAAAAAACCCACAGCTAATCTAAAAGGCCATGGTAGTTTCATAAACACTATATTCTAAAGCAAATAAAATAATAAAAACATTTTTGTGCAAATGATTATTAATTTCCCAAAATAACTGATGAATTTTGTACAAAAAATGGTAAATTCACCTTTTTTTGTCACAGTCCAATATGCCATGTATGTTTGCATGTAAAAAATAAATAGCATTTCAAAACCATTTTTTTATATTTCCAATTTCAAATACAATAAAATTATTTACTTTTCATAATTAATCCAATTATTACCACGTCCAGGAATAGTTTTAAATTTTAAGCTGAAAAGGGGAGATAATTCATGTCGAGAAAAACTGAAATTTTCAATTTTAAAAGGATTTACAGCTTAATTCAGCTATATGATAAAAAATTTAAAGAAAAAATACTCTACAGCCAAACAGAAAGGCAGTGTATATTTCATAGATACCATACCTTATGGCAAATAAAATAATAAAAACATTTTTGTGCAAATGATTATTAATTTCTAAAAGCCATTAAAGAGTTTCATACAAAAAATGGGAAATTCACTTTTTCGTCACGGTCAAATAAATGTCATGTACATATTTACTCATGTTAAAACATAAATAACATTTCAAAACAATTTCTTAATACTTCCAAATCCAAATACAACACAATTATTTGTTTTCAATAATCAAATTATATCTATGTACTGCATTATTTCTAATTTAAAGCTGAAAAGGGGAGATAATTCATGCTGACAAAAAAGAACAAAATATCATTTTTTGAGGATTTCAGTTACCGGGTATCAAGTAAATAAAATATATCTATGATTTAAAAATTAGCGAAACAAAAAGGCTGAGTAGGTTTCATAGATACCATACCCTATAGAAAATTAAAAATGTGCACCAAAATCATTGTGATTAATAATTTCACCAAAAAAAAAAAAGAAGTAGCATCATCTTTTATCAGAGTCCAATATATACACCATGTACACACGCCAGTACATGTTTACATGTAAAAATATAAGATTACATTTCAAAATAAATTCGTTTACATTTCCAAATTCAAATACAACACAAATTATTTTTTATCATTAATGAACAGTAAAATGTTGTGAAAAAAAAAATTTGAAAATATTAATCATATTAATATTGATTACTAGATTTATCATATAATCATTGTATATGTATTAAACACAATTTTAAAAGTTTTACATTTTTGTAAGGTGCAGTCATGCCAAACAGAATATCACCTATCTCCCCTGCTTCTATTCTGTAGTAAATGACTGTCCTTTTTTTATTAACCTCTTCTAAAGGCACTTAAGATCTTGGGAAGAGAATTGCTGCCTGATTAACATTATCCAAAGTACCGTCATGGTATCCACTGAACTCGAATCTTTTCTTTTTAACAGCTTTAAATATTTTATTTTCCATTCTTCCTAAAATAATAATTACAATATACATGTACATGTATTTATCATGCATCAATTTAGAACTCTTTAGTTTATACTACATTAATATTAAGGTACTAAATGGTTATTTTGATTTTATAAATTACTTTACATGGAATATCAAGTTTATATAATGCAGTAATTTCATTAAAAATCTAAAATGGCTGCATGGCATATATTCTCCCACCTTTGGAGTCTTATTAGTTGGTGGTGTTCAATGATGTTTTCTTCTTGTCTGTAATAAATAGTGTAACCTTTTCATTCAAAACCATGATGCAGCCCATCGTGTACATTCTGTGAAATTAAAAATGGGGTATAATTCATTTCAACATAAATAATACACATTTATGAAATACAGTAAAACAAATTTATAAAAAAGTCACCGAGACCTATGAAATTACTTTGCTTCATCCGTTACTCGTTGTTTCCATATAAGGAATTTGTTAAATTTATAGCTGGGGATCTAAAATAACTTTTCTATATCCGTGAATTCGCTATAGTGTATCCGTGTTCGTAGTAAACGAGTTTTGCTGTATGTGAAATATCTTTTCTATTAGCGTATTTTTCATTATTTGCAATATGTCTCCGCTTTTAACTTTAGTACAATTTAAACAACATTATAAACTTGAATCTACACTACTTGAGGCCTCTTCCAATGACTTCCATATTATTACAATATCAATCATGACTTTGCTGTTCTAGGGAAGATTCTCCATTATATATTGCAATGTGAAACTTTGATCCTCATTGTGGCCCCATCCTACCCAAAGGGGGGTTTAACTCAACCAATTTATTTATACACTACATTATAATTACCAGAGACTGCTTCCATATAATTACTTTGCTGTTCTTAAGAAGATTTTAAAAGATTGTTACTAGTGTTGGCAACGAGTACCCGGTTAACCGTCAAACGATGCGAGTATCGGTTAGTAAAATTGCTATTAGGTTACTCGGATAAAAATACATTTTTCATAGTAAATACGTACATGTATAAAATGATTTTTATGTTAATTTTAATCGATATTGACACGTTTCCCTAATTTAATTACCGCTGGGCTTGCTCTAGTGGTTCACAAATAGGATAGATTTTTTTGATTAGTTTAATTGATGGCTTTAATTGCCAGGGGGTACACATTTTAAAGGCCTGATTTATAATTACCTAATTTAGACCTATATAAGTCAGAGGAACATACTTTAACAAGATACCGAAACAAACATCTGTAGTGTGGAAATATTGTTAAAGAACGGCTGACTCGAAATCTGTCAAATTGCAATTTATGTGAACCGGAGTTGTCGTATAC